AGAATTGCAACTACATGTCCCCATTTCCACAATATGATTTAAAATTATCGAAATTTACAAAATAGCCCTTGGCTTTATTTCTATAAATCCGAATGGCCCCTCACCATGTTTCTGCACCATCTCATTTCCAGTCCAAGCTGTATTCATTTTACATTTACCTTTTTGAGTATATACAGTTCAGATAAAACAGAGAGAGAAAAATGTTGGGAGTGTTTAGCAGCTCGATCGTGTCTCCGCCGGACGAGTTGGTGGCCGCGGGGAGCAGAACGCCGTCTCCGAAGCTGACGGCGGCGAAGCTGGTGGCTCGGTTCCTAGAGGCCAACTCATCGGCGGTTTCCTTACAGATCGGCGACCACGCCCAGCTGGCTTATACTCACTCTAATCAGTCAGCTTCTCAGCCGAGGTACGCACAGTAATGCCAGAGTTAAAATTGGAGATAATTGTATTTTCATTTTGTGAATTTATAATCTGAGGGTTATGATGTCGTTGTATTATGATAATGCGTCAAAACAGATAAAATTGTAATTACCATACATGTTTGGATTAATTATATAAAAAGTTGTGATCTTTGGGTAATGATCTTAGTCCTGGTGTGTGTTGATTGTAGAAGATGGGTTTTAGCATCCAGATCATTAGATTATCCTGCTATGTGATGCATGTAATGAAAAGTGTGACAGAAAATATCTGATTTGCCAATTTTTATGTTTGATTACGCTTTGATCAAATTGATAGCTGTGATTTATTTGAAATATAATTTTTGTGATTATCTGGATCCCAGAAAAGATATGATTCATTAAATAACCCCCCGTTTTGGGTTTTTCCTTATGTATTTTCTTTAATTTCTCCGCAAGTTTTATGGCTTTTACTGCCCTCGTGATCTCCAAGCAGGTATGATAATTGTTTAATTAATTAAACTGGCTGGAGCAGAAGGTTGGTGAATTTTGTTTTTATTTTCCGCAATTTGTTGTTGCACAAACCGAAAAGTTGGTCATATTGAAGTTCTTCGTGAATTACAATGTCTTTTTCTTTAAAGTTCCTGATTTTCTTGCATGGTCGCAACGTGTTGAACGCTGAGCCAAAGATTCCTCTCTTATTTTTTGATCTGTTCAGTCCTGTGAAGTCTAGAGTCATCTTGGTCCTCGCATATTTCAATCAGAATTAGATCAACCGGCCTTTACTATCAGTAAATTAAAATAGTCAACAGTCTATCTTTACCATGGCATCCTATTAGGGGTTGCTTAATGTTTCATCTACTTATTTAAATTTGTTGGATGATTATTTAAGTTATAATCACACATAAGCTAGAAAAGTGGGCCCGAAAATGATTCTAAGGAAAAAAACTGGGCACATAGTCTTTGGGTAGGTGATACACCACTCTCATCACTCTCATATAATTAATATTAGTCATACACTACATGATTGATTCCAGAGTATTACCTATCGATCGAGTATAAACTAGTCTTGATCAACACATATATTTTGAGTTAATAAAAGTAAATAAATTAGGAATTCAACTAGCCTTGATTAAAAGCACAGGCAGTAATCATGGAGAAGCTAAGATTATAAATTGATTAGCTTAATTGGTTTTCACATGGTGAGGCAACCTGTATTAATCACTACAATAGAGATTAGGTTGTTGAAGTATTAATTAAAAACTTAAAAACCTTCACATGCCTAAATGATGTATCAATCACTTATTTTAGCCATTAGGCAAGTTTAATGTTGAAACAATCTATAAATTCATTAAAAAGTGATGTAAGCTAGAAATAAGAACTTTGGTGACTCTCATATGATTACTTATCATATGATGGTTGAGTTGAAACTAACTGGATATGATGAAACTGCAGATCTTTTGCGGTTAAGGATGAGATATTCTGCTTGTTCGAAGGATCCCTCGACAATTTGGGGAGCTTGAAGCAACAATATGGGCTGGCAAAATCTGCAAACGAGGTGCTTTTGGTGATTGAGGCGTATAAGGCTCTTCGTGATCGGGCTCCTTATCCCCCAAACCATGTTGTCGGCCATCTTGAGGGGAACTTTTCCTTTGTAGTTTTCGACAAGTCCACATCTACTTTGTTTGTAGCAACTGTAAGTAGAAACTAGACCTTAGAAATGCATAATTGAGAACCTTTTTACTATTTTAAGAGGCTTTTTGATTTTCAAACCGGTTGAGTTTGGTGGTGTCTTTACAGGATCAATATGCCAAAGTTCCTTTATATTGGGGAATCACTGCTGATGGGTATGTGGCATTTGCTGATGATGCTGACTTGCTTAAAGGCGCATGTGGGAAGTCGCTGGCTTCTTTCCCACAAGGTGAGCACGGGGAAATAATTGGCTTTCTGATTTTTTTTCTGGGGTAGATTAAGGACAACAAAAGTAAACAGAAATATGATACATATATGATTTATGTTTATGAAGAATTTTTTACTTGGCCGTGTACGATATGTATCAAGTTAATACAATTCTTATGTTGGTGGGAAAATAAATGACGAACTGAACGCTAACAGTAAGTAAACAGTTAATTGTCACTGTGAACAGTTAACGTTTGGTGATAATTCAGTTAATAGTAAAAGTTATCATGTACATTTGTGACGTTTTAATATACTTGGTTACAATACAGGTAGGAGAGAACTTGTGTTCAACTGTTATAGTTTTTTATCAGATGTGTATATATGGTTTAATGACAGCTTTGATATTTATCACAGATATATTCTCCATGCTAGACATCTATTGTTGTTCTTATATTGTGTTAGTTTGTTTATTATAGTATGCAGTGTTAAAGCTCAGTGCCGAACAGTAATAATAATTAGGTAATTCTCCTATTTAACCATGATCGTGTGTGTTTTATTTCTTAGGATGCTTCTTTTCGACAGCTGTTGGGGGGCTTAGAAGCTACGAGAACCCCAAGAATAAGATTACTGCTGTTCCAGCTAAAGAGGAGGAAATATGGGGGGCCAAGTTCATGGTAAGATGATATTTTTTTTTTACTTTTCCAGAAAAAAACTCTCAATATCAACTAGGAAATCTAGATGCTAAAATACCATTGGCGTGCGTAGGGGACCATTATTTTTTGTTGTGCTAAGCTTCAGTCGGTAGGATTTTTTTCGATTCTTTGCTTCTTATCTTTTTCATACAACCAATGTTCAATAAACGCCACAGAGGTTTGATTTATTTATATATAAGTTTGAAACGAACAAGAATGTCTTTCAGGTTTGCATCCATCTTATGTTTCTCTCCTGCATTTTATGTTTTTTCCAAAAACCTTTCGTACATTCTTATGAATCTAAGAGCCACCCCTGAAGTTGAAAGCAGAATCTAAACTCAAGTATTCTTTTGTAACTCTGAACCTCCCACTTTTCTGTTTAAACTATTTCACATCTTAGATTAAGTTCTGTAATTATCCCATTGAGTTATTGGAAGTGTCGGCTAGAAACATTTTTTAATCTCTGCAAGACCATTTTGTTGTTTATCTCGTCCAGAAAGGTTAAAATTACCTTTTAGCCCAGGGTACATATATAAAAGAACTCATGACCGTTTCGGACCATCAAAATTCAGATTGGATAATGTGGAACAAGATCCATGACAAAAGTGGGCCTCAACAAGAAATTAAAATCCTTCATAAAAGAGGATCAACATGAAATCTCTGTCATGTGTTTCGTTTTATTTTATTTAATTTATATTTGAGAATTGACAGATATCCAACTTTGAAAAAGTGATGTTTTAGTGGCCACAATTTGTTGGACCCTACTTATTTTTTGATGAGTTAATTGAGTGTGGAATGATATTTCAGGTGGAAGGGTCCAGCGTTGTTGCAGCCACAAAATAGATGTTTTTATGTGAAGTATCAAAATGTTGCTCCATTTATCTGTAACCCTTTGTTGATTGAAAGTGAAAGGAGCTAATTAGAGGAAGTTAGTGGGGGAAAGATTATGCATGAGTGAGTGAGTCTGTAAATAAATGGAGGGTTTCACTTGTTTGTTGCTTTAAGTTGGAAAATCAGAACCTAATAATGTACTTGTGTGAGGGCCTTTTTTCTTTTTTCAGGTTACTTTTGCTACTGTTTTTGCTTGGGCAGTGGCATTAGTTGTGTATTTATGAAGTCTGGACTATTTTCAAACTAATAAAGTGGTGAGATGGATATATATGAGAAAATTACCTCCTACACTAGACAATTTAATTTTAATTACATAAATAAAACCTGTTTAAAAATATTAGCAATATAGCAAGAAATCATGTTTATATTTGCATCTTTACTAGAAATCAGATGGTATCAATGATTGTATTTTATTTATGGAATTATGTTTTGACAAAAAACGTTTCAACTTTTTGTGACATTAAAACTCTTCATCTTCTTCTCTTTCGGCTCGTGAGTGGCGGAGGTCGTGGTGGTGGAGTATCTCTCTCCTCTCGTAACCCTAAATTAGCCGATCAACGGCTCAAGAACACACCCCACTATCCTCTGCCCTTAGCCGTCTCAATCTCGTCACACTCGTGTTGTTGCCCGTTAGTTCTAATAATCGAGATTTTGCCACCGGTGCCCTACAGATCGAGAGAAAGAGGACGACTAGGGATGAGAGAGCAAGGAACGGACAACGCCGATCTCTGTACAAATTGAGTATTGGGAGTTGAAGGTCGATGTAATTGACTCTGCCGGGCAAAGAGAGTTATTGGTGGTGGAGCTTGGGTGGCTCTTGGCAGTGCCGAGCAATGAGCATGTACTTTATTTGGCCTAGGTTGGTTTCTATTATATTTGTTATAAAAATATTAATCGATGATTAATGGGGAGCTGTTGAAGGCTTGTATTATTCTATGTTTACGGTCTATATTTTTTTCTGGATGATTTTGTTATTTTACTATCAACTTGTTTATAAGTTTAATTGCAAGTAATCTAACGTTTTACATTACTGCCAGGCTAGTCTGGTTGGCTCCCCGGCGTCCGCTCTCTCTCCCGGATGGAAGTTTTTTTGGGGAGCTTTGGCCTCCAGTCTCGATCAATATGTTTCCAATGTTTGTTTATTTGATGTATATTTACAGTTATGTTATATATTTTGCAGATTTTTTTTTATAAGAAAATTGATATAAGATAACAAATGAGTATTTTTTTTATTGTTGATCATTGTTTATGTTGTTTTTTGATATTTTATATTAATATTTTTTTGTTTTATTTTTATTGGTAGTTCTGCCGTGTGTTGTTCAGCAGTTGGTAAAAATATGTAAATAAAAATACAACATATATTGATAACATATTAAGTATATAACACGAATATGTTATGCATATGTGCACGAATGATATACTTACAATATATCGGGCTGCAACTCTGTAGTTGTTTTCAAGACTAGACTGTATATGTGATGTTTATATATTGTATATATTCTTGTAGGATGCCACTAACACTTTAAATATCAATGAACATAACATATACGTTTAATATCCAGCATCAAAACAATGTGTTGTAAAAAAATAAACAAAATAAAGGTCTACAAGTAAAAAATTACCTATTTTTTCAACTTTAGTTCATCTACAACGAAATATGTTCCCAGGATTGTGTAATGTATATAGTTAAAAGATAATGTCTTTTGAAATTCAAATTCATTATCTTTTTATTTTTTATTGAACAACCTCCTATTTTGTAGGTTATATATAACACGATTAAGTGATGTCATTTAAATAACTTCATATTTTGTAGGTAGTATATACCACGATTATATTATGTTTATGTGCACGCATGATATAGTATCCCGAACTACAACTCTGTAGTTGTTTTCAAGAATGTATATGTGATGTTTATATATTGCATATATTCTTATAGAATGCCACTACCATTTTAAATACCAACGAAACATAACATATACGTTTAATATACGGTATCAAAATAATGCGTAGTAAAAAATAAACAAAATAATGGTCGACAAATAAAAAATTATGTTTTTTCAACTTTAGTTAATCTACATCGAAATAACAAAAAAATTGCCAAAAAAAAGATATAATGTCTTTTGATATTCAAATTCATTATCTTTTCATTTTTTATTGAACAACCTCCTATTTTGTAGGTTATATTGACTTACCATATATATATATATATATATATATATATATATATATGTGTGTGTGTGTGTGTGTGTATTTTTTAACAGAAATTGATAGATCCAAACGTTTAGCGCAAATCAAGGATGAGTTGCCATTCAATTTTGGTAACTGAAATCCTACCATTTGCATTTGTACAATTAAATAGCATTTATTTGGTATACATGCAATAAGATATTTTACTTTCGTATGCTTACAAATAATTTCTAATCATACAGTACAAAACAAAATTTCCCGATATATATCATACATTCATTTGGTTAGATGAGTTTTAATAAGTTGCTATTTGTTCAATTATTTTTCATCTCGGTTCTTGTA